AAAGGCAGGAATTTCAAATTCCAGTTGATGCACCCATAGGTGTCCTGGACTGCAGCCTTCTGTTCTGGAGGAATCTCGTCTGTGTCAGAGTCATCAGAACGATGCTTTCGTTTTCTTATTTTAGGGGTTGTAGATCGTTTCACATTGTCCAGTCTGTTCTGTAACTGCTTCACTAGTGAGTGATAACCTGGTCCAATCACATCTCCCTCTATTACATCCTGTAGAGACTTGGGATATTTGGCCACCATCTTTTTGGCAACTTCTGTAGTGCCTCTTTTTCCTATGGAATAACTTTTTTTCATCATCTCAGAGATCACAATTCGCACCATCTCCCGTCTCAGTCTAGGACTTGGCCGTTTACCTCTCTCCAATGATTGCATTAGCTCCTCCGGAAACACATCCCACGGTATCACAAAGTTAGCACCCCAGTCAATTTCCAGACTCTGATTGCTGTTGGAGGAGACTGATGATGAACTTTGGGGTGATAAAGACTGTAAAGATGCAGATGTTTGGACAGTATCATCTGCAGAGGACTTGCTGGTTGCAGGGCTTTGGCCTTCAAAAACACAATCCAAATGTGTATTTCAGACATTAAGTAAAAAAGTAAATACTGTAATTGTGTTTTGTAAATGTTGATCACACACACACGCACACACGCACACACACACACACACACACACACACACACACACACACACACACACATAATGTTTTGCACTAATTGTGTCAAGCAAACAAAACTTACATCTGAGCTTCCAAGTTGCAAGTGCTTTTCTGGCTTGAACTGGCCTCAAGGCTGACAGCAAATCATCTTCCAAAATAAACTGAAAATCGTCATATGTTTCCACTCCAATCGACTGCAAAGTCTCCTCAAGAATATCCTTTGAAACCTCTGGAAGGTTAGGCAGGACCTCATTGATGACAGTGCGCAGAAATGTTTCTTCAGTCATTTCTAAAATCAAAACAAAAAAAAAAATTAAAAGATTCAACTTTTCATGCATTTAGCATACAGATAAAAGAAACTCCTATTTTCAGTATGAAGTTTAATGTCAGGAATTATACTTTATTGAAATTGGCGCCCACACAAAGAAATGGCGCACTTTAATTCCGCAGTAACCGCTGCTGCAGGAGCCAAGGGTGCAGGCCCCTTGTGCACTCGATAAAAATGAGCCTTAAATGCAGAATAAGTACAAAATGTCCGCTTGCAGTCGGTGCCAATGCACTTGAAAAAACAATGGGGTTCGTTTCTATGAACTCTACAGTGCAGCACATAGCCCCTCAATGACTGTAGTGTTTTGCTGCAAAATGGACAGGTAATCATTATTTAAACTAACAAAATCCGCTTAATGTCCGTGTCCCGTTCTGGCGCCAAACGGTATAACTTCTGCAGTTAGCGTTATCACTGAAAACCTCGTCCAAACAAAAGCTGGTATTTTCAGATAAAAACTGCTATGCTTTCACGTCTGAAAAATATAAAATGTTAGCTTACCAGAAAAAGAAGTCCCCACAGCGATGTTTTCTGGAGCAGTTGAGTCCACTACCACACAGCAAGATCCAGTGTGTGTTCGCCAAAATCCAGCCGCTACCGCGACGTTTAAACCGACCAATAGCAAGACAGGACCTCTGCTTCAAGTTCACCGACACTCTCGTGCAGCAGCCCACTCAAGCTACGGTAATGCCAAAGCGTTTTATCACAGAATAAATCCCAAAAAATTCAGGGACAGGATGTTGACATCTGTGTGCAGAGTAAATGTCAAACTATATATAATGAATGTCAAAAATCCCTGCCTGCTGTTTTGTTACAAAAGTTTGATTTGCAGCATGAATGTGTCACAACGTAATCTTTGTTCAAAATCCAGCACCACAAACACCTTTATAAGTAAAGGTGCCGCCATTGTATGGCAAGCTGGTTTATCATACAATAAACTCACTTCAAATTAGATTTCATTATGTCATTCCAATATTAAACAAATAAAGAAGCCAGTACAATTTTTAAGTCATCCCAGTCATTGTTTTCTTTCAAAGAACTTTTCCTTAATAAATGCGCATAATGGTCAAATCAGCTGGATTTAAAAATTAGTTTTGCTACGTCTGATGAAACAGAACATGCGCGCAGCAATCAGAAACCCTGCATTTCTTTAAAATACAACATGATAAACACCTAAAAATATATTTGTTTGCTGAAAATTATAGTAAAGATGTGGCTGAGCTGAATTTTTCCTTAATAAATGAACTTAATGGTCAAATCAGCTGAATAAAAAAAAATACGGTAGTGTCGCTTCAGTTCTGTGAAAATGGACGTGCATTGAGTGGAAAGCTGCATTTCTTTAAAATTTAACAAGATAAACACCTAAAAAAAAATTTGTTTGCTGATATTATAGTAAACATGCATCTGAGCTGAAATTTTCCTTTATAAATGAACGTAATGGTCAAATCAGCTGAAAAAAAAAAACCGGTAGTGTCGCTTCCTCCGGTGGTTCTGTGAAAATGGGCGTGCATCGAGTGAAAAGCTGCATTTCTTTAAAATTTAACAAGATAAACACCTAAAAAAATTGTTTGCTCGACATTATGGTAAAGGTGTCTCAGCTGAACTTTTCTTAATAAATGCACTTTGACGGTTAAAACATGGCAAAATGAAGCCGACGAAATAAACGGCTTTAAAATTACTACACGCTAAAATATCCGAACACCAAACAGGTACACCAATAGTCGTCAAAAGCCTAGAGGGCCCTTTAGCGCCCATAGCGGCCGAAAGTGGTACTGCGTTGTGCCCCTAGCGGCCGATTGTGGTACAGCACCATTTTTTCCGTCAAAATGAATTGAAACGGTCATATCTCAGCCAAAAATTGGTCTAAAAATATGGGGAAAAATCCATAAATATGTCGCTTCGCAGTATAAGTCGCAGGACATGCAAATTAGGAAAAAACTGTGACTTATATGCTGGAAAATACGGTACTACTTATAACGAATGCAGATGTGGTATTTGCAAATGATGCAGATCTTTTTAACAACTCCTTACCTTGAACAATATGAACAGAGTTGTGGGAAGTAAAAAGACATTCATAGTTTGTTCATTCATTTGTTTTTCTCCTTGTAATGTCTTTATTTTTTCCTCCTTAACCACAGAGACCAGGTCTTCACTTGACAAAACTGTTTTGTCCATGTAACGTGATGACATAATAACATATGCCATATTCCCTATGACATTAATAACTCATGAAAAGGTGTTTGGCTCTTTTGAATGGCCCTATGAAATAAAAAGCTTTGTCAAGATCAGGATCCCTTCAAAGAGCCGTTTATCCCATCATTGCATGTTTTTGTAAAATAACATTTTTGGGCTGTTTGAATGTAATAGATAATTTAACTATGTCATATTTTGGATACTTATGCATTTCGTAAATATTGTTGATATGAGTAACTTGGAATTGTTAAAAATTTGAATGTAAAAATACCTGAAAAAAAAATCAATTTAACACTATTATGCTGTAAATGTAACTTTTATATTTTGTTTTCAGAATCACAATTTATCTTTGTTTTAAACACAGCAATTAGTAATTTTGAACACAAAATGTTGTCTTTTTAACATATTGCTATTGTAAAAATAACATTAATAATTTGTTTTAAATTTTACACCACACCACTGTTACTTAAACATTGTCTTCCTGTATTTCAATTTACAAAATATTTCTGTCACCATTTTACAGACATTTACTGTTAAATTCACGGACATTTTTTACAGTGTTCCTTTCAAATCTACCATTTTTGTGCTGAAATAAGGTATCTCTGTTGCAGGAAGCACATTGACACAAGAGCACGTTTTAAATTAACTGTATGCTTAGGCATGACTATTGTTGATTACTTAAAATTGGCAAAAACTGACCAAGTTAATTGGCTTACAGATCAATCGATCCTACTTTAAAAGACTACTGATTTTCAATCTTTTAAACATTCAGGCTGTATAAATGCATCGGCATGCTCATCAAGACTGTCCACTCCTGCAAATCTCTCACAAGTAGAATCCTAACACTCCTCGTGTTCCCTAAGTTTAGTCGCAGCCATTTATTTTTCTCTGTCACAGAGAAAAGGCTGTGTAGCGCTGTACGCAACAGTGCACAAAAATCCAAAAGCCTTTGAAAATGAGTCACAGCCAAAAGAGGAGCTTGCTGGCGCTGAGTAAAACAACGTGAGACAGATTGAAGATAACAGAGTACGTGAAAGCAGCAATGACATATCGAAGCAAAAAGAAGGAAAACAGAAAAGCAAACAGAGCTCGAGACCAAACCATCAAGATAGTGTGTAAACACCAAAGACAGCTTCATGTAAAGTGCTCAGTGAAGCCGGCTGCTCAGGCAGTAAGTGGGTCTTCAACTGTGGGCTTACTCTGATACTGGGGTTAGGCAGAAGCGCCATGTTCGGTAATACGCTCAAGTTAATATTCTGTAATAAATGGGCAAATCCGCCCCAAAGCTGGTCCATTGTGACAGAAACACAAGGCATTTAGACGGGCCTGGCGATCTGTTTGTTTGAGTCAGAGGGAAGCAGGAAGCTCGCAGTCGGCCTCCATGGGAGACGCCGTGGATATGACTGATGGAGACACGAAGCCTCGGCTCCACTGCCCAAGAACAGTTTGACTGAGTGACGAAGGAAGCAGCAAATGTGCACAAGATGAGACAAGTGGTGTGGAATAGATACACCTGCAGTGGGACTGTTTCATTTTATGTCTAGCCTTCAAGCAAATCCAGAATAAGCCCCGGTTTCCCAGTGAATTTTTTTTTTTTTCGTGACCTGTTCCTAGCTGTTACCTGTGCTGCTAAATGCTGTCAATTAACTGATTCAGTGTTTGGCAAATTAGTCAACAGATGTGCAAACTGTGTTTTGAATCCCGGCAAAATTTCATTTTTATCAAATAACTTAACAGCTGTGCTAATGTGTGTGTGTTCGTGTGTTAATTGCACAGTTTGAGTTGTAAGCTAACGTCTCACTGGTTTCCCCTCCCAGCCATGAAATCAGGAGGCACTCAGCTGAAGCTGATCATGACTTTCCAGAACTACGGACAAGCTCTGTTCAAGCCGATGAAGTAAGTAACGCGGGCATGGATCGCATCATTTCACACTCAACACCACATATCTGTAAAATCTGTAAAAGTCGGAACGTTATATATAATTGAAGGCGGAATGAAATGATTTGCAAATCTCATAAGACCAGGATGCACATATTCACATCAGTATTTAAAAAGTTTAAACTAAGAAATTCATAACAATTGATTTAACGGGTCAGTGACAGGACAGAGTTTTAGAGCAGCTGAAGCTCTTAGAAGTAAAGATGGGCAGAGGATCACCAGGCTGTGAAAAACTGTGTCTAGTGGTGGAACAGTTTCAGAAACAACTCATCATTTACAGCTTATTTGATCCTCAAACGATTTGAAGAATCTGCACTCAGAGCAAAGGACAAGCATGAAAGTCAGTGACCTTTAGGCTTGAGGAAGCACCGGATTAAAACAGATGATTCTGTTACATACCTCACTGATGGGCTCAGAAACACTTTCTCTGAACAGTTCACTGTGCCATCCACAAATACTGGGTAAAGAAGAAGCCATATGTAGGGCAGCATGATGGCTTAGTGGTCAGCATTGTTGCCTCACAGCAAGAAGGTCATGGGTTCAATCCCTGGTTTGGAACTGGAGTCCTTCTGGGTGGCGTGCATGTTCTCCTCATGTTTGCGTGGGTTTTCACTGGATACTCTGGTTTCCTCCAACAACCCAAAAACATACATGTTCAGGAACAACATGTGCTCCCATCCAGACCACATCTTTTTCAGAGGTCAATTTTCATAAAGGAAACAATCCATCAAAGAAGACCCAGGACTGTTGAGCAACCAGCATCCTACAACAGATGCATTTCCCTCCAGAAGCTGGTCTCTTCAGGACCCAGATGTTTACACTGTTGTTAAAAGATGATGGGATTCTTCACAGTGGTAGAAATGGCTCTGTCCTAACTTTTTGAGCTGTGTTGCTGCCATAAAATTCAATAGTAACTTGTTTATGTTATAAAACAATATACAGTAGTCCCTCGATACGTTGTGGATCGTTTTTCGCGGAATCGCTCGATCTCGGTTTATCAAAATAAGACTGGACATGACACACAATTGACTGATTGGTGGATGAGCCGCACGATCGGCATGGAATTTTTATTTAAAATAAATTATGTAGCACCAGTGTGCAGCCCACAGCTGCAGGAGAATGTTCTTCGTGCAGCGTGTCATATCTCCGCTCTGCAGCGGAGAAGTGGGCGTGGCCAAGAGAGCTGGCAGGTGGCAGAGAGCAGTGGAGACAGAGAGCTGAAGTCATGACATTCTGTGCTCTTTTAGAGCATTTAGAGTTTAGAAACATGGTTTAGAATATTGCAAGAGTGTGGGAAG